TCAGTCAAGACTCTGAAAACTTTGTCCACCTCCAGTATCTTTGTCGCTAGGCAAATTACAGACTGACAGTTTAACGACTTCTTCAAAAGTATATAAACTACTACCTGTTCTGCTTCATATTCACAAGGAAGTAAATGTGACAGCTGCAGGTAAACCCGACCTCAGTAACGTTCAGGTTCAGAAAAACACCAATAAACCTTTGAACCCTAATGAGACACTTAAATGAGACGTTTAAATGAGACGTCATTAGTTAGCAGTAGCACCTACCTGCTCTCGGGGTCTTATCGTCCAAACGTGTCCCTCGACAAGTCTTTAAAGTATTCAGTTGGTCCCTCCTCAAGAGCGTAAATAGCTCTTCTGTGAATATCTGTCGCAGGAGCTTCAGTTACAGGCGTGTGGAAACTAGTCAGCGAGAATGATTTACAGACTCGAGGTGTTCTGGTTTTTATTAGGACGTCCTGATGTGTTCCCACTGAAGACATTTTCCTCCGTCCCTTCACTCTTATTTACTGAGGAGGATCCGGGACCATGTGGGGACACACACTGGTGTTTATATCCGGGGGTTTTTCTGTCCGAACACGCAAAGAATGCAGGGAGAATTTTTTTTGAACTTGTTGGAAATGTACTGAAGGAAATCTACTCTGTTTCACCATCAGAGCGATGAATCACGTGAAGAAGAAGAAGCACTATCAGAGATAATCATTGCATCCTGCTCCAAATTGAAATAACATTCAACAGATTCTGAGTTGGATTTTACTCATTACTTTAATCCAATGGAAAAACCCATTAGATGTTGTCGAGGGGGCCGTTGCGATGCTCTCCAGGGAGTTATTTACCCATTTAGTTTCACATAATTTGAAAAGGTGGTTTCTTAATGTGATCTTTTTTTCATATCGATGTGTTATTTATTCATTTATTATGTGTTTCCCCTCTGCGACCCCCACTGACACTTGCCTTCAACCACCATATAGACTGTATGCATTATTACACTAATACACACTATGTAAACAACATCTTGCTTTTATTGATTTCATTTAAGTATTGCCTGTTCTGCACAACACTCCAAATATTTTTGCACATTTGTACACAAGCTGCCTCTCGTCCACTTCCATAACAACACTGCACATCTTTTTTTTATTATTTTGAGTACTTTGCAACAGTTCCCTTGCACGTAGTATATCCAGATTACATGTGAATTTTCTATATCTAATCGTATAATAGTTTCAATAGTTTCAATTGTTATTTTTTGGTTGTTTTTTCTTACTTTATATATTCTTTAACTGTGTTTGTATGCACCATGTACACCAAGACACATTCCTCGTATGTGTTAATCTACTTGGCGATAAACCTGTTTCTGATTCTAATTTTTTTAATTTAATTATAAGGGACAATTCCCAGACTATTGTACATTAGAATCAGAATCAGGAATCCTTTATTAGTCCCACAGTGTGGCATAGCAGGTAAAAAAAGCAATAATACAGGATAAGCTAACATATGAATATATAGATAAAGCACACATTAGTTATACAACAGTGGCTTGCAGCAGCCGACCTCTTTCAAGCCATGGTCGCAATGTTAAAGGGGACCTATCATGCAAAATGCACTTTTGTACGTCTTTTATACATGAATATGTGTAATAGATTTGAACACTGTCCTGACGTCAGGACAGTGGCGCTACGGCTATTGGGCCAACTCCACCAATCAGGAGGAGACAGCCACGGCCATTGCCGTTGAAAGCGCTGGAGACGCTGTAGTACATATGCCAGGCCTGTAGATGGTGCTGTTCTCACAGAATCTGCCCTTGCTAAAACAGAGCTAAAAAATGTCAAATTGAGCAAAATGAGGCATGGCTAAAATGCATGATCTGTTTGGTATTTTGAAAATATGCCTTATATAGGTATGGTCCTACACTATATTATTCAAATATAGCATGATAGGTCCATTTTAATCTTAAGTTCATATTTGTTGAACAAGTTGCATCAAATTCAGCTCAAAGTTAAAATGTGTATCAACAGATGTTCACTTTAATTTGATCCACAAGGAGGTGACTAAGTTTTGCCTGAAGTGAACAGTATATGTACACAAAATCACCAGTTCTGATATCATGTTCTGTTAAGTCTGATTAAATGTGAAGCAAACATAACATCCAAAGTAAGAGTAGTATAATTATCTGAATGTCTGGGTGTCTATTGAGTCATGTGATCTGAAATTATTAGGGACAAGTTGTACATTCCCCAACATGATTGGCTTGTAGTCCATTCTCTTATTTCCCTTGTTGTGTTTGGCGTTTTTGACGTGGGTGGTGCACTTTGTAAAGTAGGTGCGCTGAAAGTTGACCCTAAATTCAGTGTTTGGGATTAGACGCAATCCCCAAAAATCCCACCTAAGTGTCACATCTGATTCACCCTTATTGTGTTATCAGGATGTTACATTTATGTGATGTGGTGTGACTGAAGGATTTTGTAGACTACTGACTGGATAATCGGGGTTGTTGGACTCTGACTTGGGGACATTTTCTATTTTGAGTTGACCTTATTGTCTCCAAGGCATGCCGGTGTCTTGACCTAGACTTTTCTCCTTCTGGTATGCGACTTGGATGTGTGTGTGTGTGTGTGTGTGTGTGTGTGTGTGTGTGTGTGTGTGTGTGTGTGTGTGTGTGTGTGTGTGTGTGTGTGTGTGTGTGTGTGTGTGTGTGTGTGTGTGTGTGTGTGTGTGTGTGTGTGTGTGTGTGTGTGTGTGTGTTGTGTGTGTGTAGTGTGTGTGTGTGTGTGTGTGTGTGTGTGTGTGTGTGTGTGTGTGTGTGGTGTGGTGTGTGTGTGTGTGGTGTGTGTGTGTGTGTGGTGTGTGTGTGGTGTGTGTGTGTGTGTGGTGTGTGTGTGTGTGTGATGTGTGTGTGTGTGTGTGTGTGGTTGTGTGTGTGTGTGTGGTGTGTGTGTGTGTGTACTGGACTTTGTTTACATGGTATTTTATTTCAGATTGGACTCAGACTTCTCTTGTCTGTGTCGTGACTCACTCTGACTGTTATACGGTTTTGATTTGGACTTAAGTGCGTCATCACTCTTTTGCTTTAGTGTAGCACAGTGTGTCAATAAAAGAACAAAAGACGAAATAAATAGATTTCAGAAAATCTTTTATTTGGTGCATTTTAGTTTTCAATTCCAATAAATCAGTATTGTGTCTGAAATGGCCCACAAAGGTCACAAATAAAAAAATGCAACATTTTAATATTCTCCATATTATATTTTTCATTGTATTCATTAGATAAATATTTGTTTTAAATAGATTACTCATGGTATAATGTAGCTGAAGGAACAATTTCATAAAATTGAAGACAAAATTGAAGTTTAAATGACTACATAATAAAATCTGTAAATAAGCAAGAGGCCTAATTCTGATAATATAACGAAAATAAAAATATATATAATGTTTTCAGAAAAGCATTTATTACTTTGTTGTTTGTACAGGGCATACTTTTATCCAATTAAGGATTAAGTGACTACATAATTAAATCTGTGGATCATCAGGAGGCCTTATCCTGTAAACATGTAACAGATTAAACCCAGATGTGCTTGATTTTGGTGGGAGTCACCAGTTTGGGGGTGCAGCTCTCCCCAGCGTAGCACTGACAGGTGAAGTGCTCCTCCCACATCTTCAGGTCGCCTGCGGAGGGAATCCCGACGGCGACGTACTTCCTGTCGGCCCGCCGGATGCTGAAGCGCTCGGGGTTCAGGTGGAGGTAGTGGCCGCACTCGTGGTTCTTCCTGACGCAGCGACCTTTCCACTGACACAACACCTCGCTGCACAACATGGTCGCCGCCGTCACGTTGGCGACGTACGGGTTGAAGGTGGAGGTCAAGTACTCAGAGAGAGACGTACAGGCAGCCTGGAGAGAGGGGAGGGGTTACAGGTGAGAGTCAGGAAGACATAGTAGTGCATAAACGCTAACATTAGGCTATAAAGGAACTACAGCACATGACTTCACGTCACCACCGCTAAGCTAAAGGCGGCTAATGTTGGGCTATAGAGGAACTACAGCACGGTCACATGACTTCACGTCACCACCGCTAAGCTAAAGGTGACTAATGTTGTGCTATAAAGGAACTACAGCACGGTCACATGACTTCACGTCACCACCGCTAAGCTAAAGGTGGCTAATGTTGGGCTATAAAGGAACTACAGCACGGTCACATGACTTCACGTCACCACCGCTAAGCTAAAGGCGGCTAATGTTGGGCTATAGAGGAACTACAGCACGGTCACATGACTTCACGTCACCACCGCTAAGCTAAAGGTGGCTAATGTTGGGCTATAAAGGAACTACAGCACGGTCACATGACTTCACGTCACCACCGCTAAGCTAAAGGTGGCTAATGTTGTGCTATAAAGGAACTACAGCACGGTAACATGACTTCACGTCACCACCGCTAAGCTAAAGGTGGCTAATGTTGTGCTATAAAGGAACTACAGCACGGTCACATGACTTCACGTCACCACCGCTAAGCTAAAGGCGGCTAATGTTGGGCTATAGAGGAACTACAGCACGGTCACATGACTTCACGTCACCACCGCTAAGCTAAAGGTGGCTAATGTTGGACGTGATGAGGTTTAGTCGTCTCATTTAGACACTTGTTAGCAACTGCTGATTTTAAATTCACCAGTGAGGTATTAACTGTTGTATTTTCTGTCATTATTTAGTCCTTATTTCAGGCTTCTAACCAAAAACAGTAAAAAAAAAAAAAAAATCCAAACCAGGGACCAGGAAGTGCTAAAATGCCAACTCATGTCCGTGGTTAGGACTCATTCCTGCACCACTTATTTGGGACAGAAGGAAAATTACAGTTATGAGTTCAGTTTTGTGTCAAATAAACTGAATAATTTGGCGCCCCCCTGCAGTAACTCTTAGGACCTCCTAGGATTAAAAGGACCCACTGTTAGAGACCCATGTAGTAGAAGAACAATTCACAGCATCAACATCAAGGAAATGCACCAAATGTTATGACAATTAATCCAACAGTCATCGAGTAATTTACGTCTGTACCAAAGTGGTGGAGTGATCAATTGTCCAACCATCAGACAGGCCAAAAGAGGCTTTAAAATCGTCCCAATTACAAACAAAATAAGATACACAAGAGCAGAAAAGCAAAGGGAGTTTCCTCACATCTGTCAGGCGAGATAACAAACACTGCAGCGTCAGTTCCTCCTCAAACAGGAACCACACGCAGGTTGAATATTTGCTGATTAACGCCCGATCATCTATGTTCCTGTTTTCAGACCTTTTGAAGAGTATTTCTCATACAGTATGTTCTCATGGCTGCAAACACACAAACACTTTAAAAGTCTTTAAGATTGTGATTATTTCTAGCCGGCCCCCAGTTTACACAAATGTAGACTCATAAGAACTCTCAATCTCTTCCAATTGCAATGCCTTTGTTGTAGTGGCTTAGTCATTTACACCTAAACCCAACTCATAAAGAGACAAAAAATAAGGCACTTTGCACTGGGATCAGTTCGGTTTGTTTACCTTGTTGTTGTAATCTCTGACTCCTCCCCACATTACGACCCCAGAGGCTCCCACAGCTGCAGACTCTCCGATAGTGCTCACCAAGTCCGTCTGAAAGAAAACCAATCACACGGAGATTCAATATTTCTTGTCAATTCAAATACTTTACACACCCATTAGAGCAGTGGTCACCAACCTTTTTAAGCCCAAGATCCCCGACCTCGGCCTTGGTGAAAGGCGAGATCTACCTATTGCAATTGAGTGATAAAGACGGCCCAGACAGTGCTTCCAACTTGAGGCCTTTTATGTCGGCTAATTGCATCTGAATTACATCAAATCATTTGGTCCAACTTCCAATTTGATTAAACCAAGAACACAACATAACTAACATGTCAAAAAGGATAAATATATATCATTTTAAGTTTCATTCATTCCTTCATTACAATCCTAAATATAAATGTATGTAGCTTATTTTCCATTTGTTTGAGTGCATGTGTAAATTATTTTGTTGACAGCAACAACAACAAAGAAAAAAATAACATCTTGCAGTGAGCAGATAACATAAAGTGCCATTTTAACTGTGAGGCTTATCCACTGAAGCTTCATGCAAGTGCAACATTTAACATTAAAACTAGTTATTTTTAACACAATTCTTACTAATTCAAAATTCTAACAACTAGTGATGTATCGGTTGCAAACTCTTTTAAGTGAACGACGGGAGCCGTTTTTTGGGGGGCGGCTAATGTTGGGCTATAACGGAACTACAGTATGGTCACATGACTTCACGTCACCACCGCTAAGCTAAAGGCGGCTAATGTTGGGCGTGATGACGTTTAGTCGTCTCATTTAGACACTTGTTAACAACTGCCATTTTTAAATTCACCAGTGGGGTATTTACTGACGTATTTTATGTCGTAGTACAAAACGTAAAAATCTCTTCAGCTTGTGTTGACCACGGACCTTATTTCAGTCTAACAACCAAAAACCCTTTCAGAAAACCAAAGACTTCCAGACGAGGAAAACAGGAACTATTTACAAATGGCAATAAAAGCCTTGAATCTTGAATATTAAACTTCTCACCTTGCTCTGAAAGATCTCAGTTTGGTCGCGGTACAGAGGCCTGGAGTAGACGTAGATCGGCACGGTGTAGGAACGTTTCGGCAGCGCGGCGACTCTCAGAGCCTCGAGGACACGGTTGCGGACGAAAAGCGCGGCCTTGGGGGAGTTCCTCATGGACAGGTGCAGGTAGACGGAGGGGAAGAGGGCGGTGCTGGCTTTCCACAGCCACATCAGCTGGTCGTTTTGGTTCTGGACCTTCTTGGGGCACTTCCCCGTATAGTCTTTCTTCTGCCAATCATAGTTGAAGCAGTCCGGTAACAAGTAGAATCCCCAACGGCGGCTCGGACGCTCCATTATCCCCAAACTGATGGTTTCCTCCATGAAACGATGCCCTGCCAGTTGGAATTGTTTCTTTGCTACCTCGGCTATCTTATCGGAGGACAAACACGGGGCGATCTGCATGGCTTTATTGATGGAGAGGTTCTTGTAGATTTTTTTGGATCCCCAGTTCTGGTCCCACAGTGGGCGCCAGGACTCCCAGTCGATCACCGCCAATCCTGGAGAGTTATCCTCTGAAATGGAGCGATCGATTTCACGCTTGGCCTTGAGGAGATGCTCCGTCAGGTTCCCGTTCTGAGGGACTCCGCCTTCGTATTGCATGCGTTTGACGATGTCCACTTTAGGGTAGAGGCCGAGGCGGTCCTCGTAGAAGATGGTGAGGAATTGGCCGGGCACGGGGTTGGGCGTGGTCACCGCCTGGAAGACCGCGGTGTCCAGGGGGATCTCCAGTTTTTGGCACTTGGCGGTCGGGGCGTTCCATATAACCGCGAAGGGTTGGTCTCGGATCAGCGGGGGCTCGGTGTGAGGCAGTATGATGGGGGTGGCGTTAGACGCGATCATACAGAGGGCGATGGAGGACAGGAAGGACGATGGAGTCATGTTGGCTGTGGAGAGACAACAATTAAAGTTAAATCTGAATTAATTCCTGTAGAAGTTGTTGTTACTTCTTAGAACTTGCATGTGTGTATGTACAAGGAATACACAATGCATTGGCAAGTGGTGGCTTTATTCAGGACCCCAGCATATACAGTGCATGCCGACTACCAACTGAATGCCTAAACACGTCACCGGGTGGCACACTAGCTACAGTAGCCTGCAAAGGACAAACTTTAATCATATGAGAATGATCTACAATTCCCAACGTCCCTCTGTACGAGTGTACATAACATAACAAATATGTTACTGTGGATAGGAAGTGGGCAGAAAAAACCTTCTGCTTTCCCTTTAATTTATAAGAATTCTTATTTTATAGTCTTTTTATCCTTTATTTATGTGCTCAATTTTAGAATAATATTGTAAAGATATCAAATGAAAATGTTATGCAAACATAAGTAAAAGCAGGAATATGCTAAAATAAAATAGACAAAAAAATATATAAACACAAGAAGTTAAAGCTAAAATATAATATATAACATGAGATTAAAAAATGTGCAATAAGAAGATAAAATGAAATATAATAATATAACAAAACAAGTGAAAATGTGCACATTTCACCAATATGTCACAACAATGAAAATATTAAATATAAAAAAATGTGTAAATTACAATAAATACAGAGGTAAGACATTGATGATAAAAACAGGTTGTTGCTTAAAGGTAGGGTATGTAAGTTTGAGAAACCGGCTCGAGATCGCTAGAATTTGAAAATACACAACCGGAGAAAATCTGCCACTTCCTTACAGAGCCCCTCCTCCAACACACACGAACGCGCACATGACCAATGAGGGCACGAGATAAGTTTGTGCACAGATGGAAGGCTGACAGGCAGGTAGGCCATCCAGTTATTTTAGCCGGGCCGGCTAAAATGATTGGTCGTGCTTTTTACAGTATTACGGCTTCCACAGAGGACATTTATTTATGGATTTGTGTCAAAGCACTTAAGATATTCATTGCTATCGGGATGTTAAGAGCATTCCATGGAATATAACAAAAAGTGTATCTCCAGCCGGTTTCTCAAACTTACCTACCCTACCTTTAAAGTGTATGTTGTCAAAGAGAAATAATAACAAGTTTTGTTATTGCACATTTAATAATTGCACTGTTGCATTATTAATTTACGTGCAAGATCCCAATTGGAGGAAATATTGTAAAAGTCTGCTTGTTACTCAAAAGGGCATTGGATAACTTTACGAGTCGATTGCACAATTTAACTTTTGTAAAATGTGACATCATGGCGTTTAGGCTCCCCAAAAACTCCTTTTCACTTTTTTCATTTTGTGTCGCACCGTGTGCTTTGCAGAGCTACATTTATAGCTAAATATCTGAGGAATATTAACTAAAAGTGTTAAACGTTTTACCTTAAGTTCTTACATTTATATAATTAATTTAATTTAGTTTTATTCTAGAATGGAGCAACTCTCATGAAACCACTTTCTTTTTTTAATGTATTTCCTTTTTCCAGTCTTGTAGAGATAACGTGTCCTAATGCAGATAACAGATTATCTTTAAAATGACATTACATTACCTTGGCTGATGTTTTAATCAAAAGAAACTAACAATACAATTGCAAAATAGATAAAATAATCACATTGGAAAGATGTAACTCGCAAAATCAGTCAGAAAATGTGCAGAAAACCCCCAAAATGTCTGATAATCCACTCCATATCATTCATACATATGACATGATCTCATTTATCATACTATAAACAATGAGGTAAGTTATTTTTTATATTTCTACAACATGTCCTACCTGCTGCCGTCTCCTGAAGGACTCGTCACTGTTTCTGAAACGCTTCTGTTTTCTGCTGCTTTGTGACGGTTTCCTCTCTGATCGATCCTTATCTGCTTCATGTTCAGACGCCTGTCTACGCTTCTTACACAAGTTGAGGTCAGCTTCTTGTTAGAGTTCACGTTTGTCACATTAACACCTCTTTGTATGTTTTGAAATTTCAATTAGATTATGTGATTAGAGTACTTTTTTCTTGGTTAACTTGACCCATAACATTCACACTGTACATTTGATATTTATATTTAATTGATTATTCCATTCCATGCACACTTTATGTAAATAATATCCTGCTTATATTGTGTTAACAGAAAATTGGCCCTTCAAAAGTGTTGTTACTCGTCAGAGAGTTTATAGATTTATTTTATCTTCACGGTCATCTGTATACTTTTCTTACTCGCTGGTTTATTTCTATTTCTTTTTTGAGATGTTTATATTTTTGAATTGTTTATTTCTACTCTTTTAATTTGTTATTATGTGCAATGCCTTTTATCTTATTTTATCTTAAAGGGGACCTATCATGCAAAATGCACTTTTTGATGTCTTTTCTACATAAAGATGTGTCCTCGGTGTGTCGGGGAACTCACGCAGCGTCAGAAAATAAAACCCTCTCACTTTTCCTCCGTACCCAAATCTTCTAAAAACGGTGGTACAACGAGCGGATTCAGATTTGCTGCCGATATGACGTCAAATCGGCAGCGGACCCACAGAGAGTTGCTATCAGAAACGTCGTTGTGTCCCTGAGACACTTCACCCCAAATTGCTCCTGTGGGGATTGCCCACAGTATTGAGTATGTAAGTTGCTTTGGATAAAAGCGTCTAACAAGTAACATGTAATAAATTAAAAAAAAGAAACAATGCCTGACGTGTTTTGGACGTAATCTCGTCTTTGTTTACATTAGCAAGCCTCGCTAACACTCAGAGCTAACCTGTACTGGAGAGCACATGTGTTTAAAAAGCAGGAAATATAAAAAGGAACTCACCTTGTGATAAACACGCAAGAGAAAAAGCATTTGAGCTCCATACTGTTTCAGAAATAATCCTTGATGTGGTTTAGAACAGGATGGCGTTTTATCACAGCAGAATTGAACTTTATCTCCGGAAGAATTCTGATCAGGCATTAGCTCCGCCTCCCCTTTTTTTTTTTTTCAAGCTAAGGACCCAAAATCTGCGTTTCTCTAACAGGGCTGGAATAGAGGGGTATGAGCAGTATGAGGCATGGCTGCAATGGGTGATCTGTTTGGTATTTTAAGCAAAACACTTCACAGTATACGTGTTGTATAGGTATGGCCCTACAATATATGTTTCCAATATAGCCTAATAGGTCCACTTTAAGTGGAAAGAAACAATCTAAAAACACATTTAGTGTTGGTTCATTAACTGTGTCTAAGAGAGTGTATTTTATTATGTCTGGTAGTTTTTTATGAATCATCTTCATCTTCAAAATGTTCACCTCTTCATCTTTTCATTCCACGGCATTGAAAGAATAACAAAGCATCTGTTTTATTAACTCAGGTTTCCTAGTTTTTTCTTTGTAATTCATAGAAAAATAAAGACTTCAGGGTACCTGTTCCCCTTTCATGATATATTTAGAGAAAAGACTTTAGGTCTTACGATCATCATAAGCGGCTTGTACAACATCCTCTTTTTTATTCACTTCATGTAGCACCACCCTTTTCCAATCGATCTCTCTCTCTATCTTGTTACGCCCAGATCTAGGGGAACCTAGGCGCAGCATAAAATTGCCCTCTCTCAACTCTTCCCACTCCCAAGAAATGGTAAATGACACAGGAAATCAGCTTTTTGAAAAGAGGTGAGACAACCCCAACATAACAAACAACGTCATTACAGAGTTTCCTTAAACTTGCCTAACAAAACAAATAAAATAAAATACAGGCTTCTTACCTACACTTACCAGTAAACAGGAGAAAAAGGTTCAAACACAAAGAGGGTTTCTCCTAAACAAAACAAAATGTGTCTTACAAGACAGGTTAACTTAGTTTATCTTTCTAAGACTTCAAAATATACAAAAGGACCGGAATACGGTAGAATTACACACACAGCACAACAGGTCAGATATATCAACACGCGCAGAGTTGGGAGTAGGAGAAGTTGAGTCAGCGAGAGGGGAGAGGGACTGCATGGCTGCAGCTTAAATGCTCCCCTCTTCTTCAGGTGGACCAATCAGCATGTTGAAGGTAGCTAATCAGCTAACGGCACCACCTGCTTGCTCACACACACACACACACACACACACACACACACACACACACACACACACACACACACACACACACACACACACACACACACACACACACACACACAAACACACACACAGACACAGGAGGAGGGAAAAATATCTGCACACAAATGACATAACGACCCAGGGTCGTAACAATCTCTCTCTCTCTCTCTCTCTCTCTCTATCTAAGTTTGTGGCCTTTGTTATAAATTGTAATTATTACTTAACACACTATGGTTAGACTTGCAGTGCGGACCTGTGACCCTTAACCTTCAGTTCATGTCTGATATTTCAAAAATACTGCAGGCCTTGTCTTTATCTTCAGATGGAAACTTCCTTTGTGTTGTGGCTGATAAATATTGCCTTTTTTGGTGAATTCTGTGGTATTTTTCACGAGTCATCCTCTGTGAAAAGGTCAGAGTGTCACCTCTCCGTATTCACCTTTTCCTCTTTTCCTTCCTTGGTAACCCAACAGAAACCAGCTGGTTTGATGATTCAGGTTTCCCAGTTTGTTGCTGTGGAATTGGAAAGACCGGGATGACTTCAATATTTATTTAAACGCACTTCGAATTCCCCCCTCAGGATATATTTTACAAAGAATAATGAAGCTCTGAAAGCCTCATCATATGTGGCAAGAACACGTTGCACACGTTTTTTCTCTTATAACTGAAGATATCTGCAAACATCCTCTCTTTATCCTCTCTTCACAGAAAGGATACGGAAAGTCAGGTGTTTTGAAGAAAAGTCTTTATTTGCAGTGCATTTACATTCAGGTAACATTTTCCAAGTGTTGCATAGTCCTTGATGCATATTTGGTTTTACAATCTTCAGGAAACAAAGCACACAGTAAGTCCAGGAAACTTCACCTGAAGGCTGGTGAACGTACCGGCTCAGTTTAGGATCAGTGGTGCAGAGATTGTGACAGATGCTACATGTTTACTTTTTAAAGAACAGAATGATACAGAAACTCTAATCCTAATAATTCATTAGAAGTCTTTGGGACGACCAGATCCAGAATCATGTCTCAGGTCTACCTCTTCTCTGAGTTTGATTTGATTTAAAACCCTTCCAGTTCTCTAGGCTGTAGTGATTGTTGATTTGACCCCAAAAAGTTATCCAGTTCCAGTTTTTGGAAGTCTTTTTCTAAATATGATCAAACTCTTTATCCGTAGCTGCAGCAACGTTCAGTACAAGTGTGTTTAGACTGAGTGTATTGGACGAGAGGATTGATTGTATAAAAATGGAAAACAGACTTGCTTTTGGTCGTACCAGAAAGTTATAGAAACTTTCATTAGAAGTCTTTGGGATGACCAGAACCAGGTCTCAGGTGTACCTCTGCTTCAAATAGGCTGTGATTTCAAAATGCTCCAGTTCTCTGTGGTCAATGAAGAGAAGTATCTAAGTTTCTATATTGGTATTTTGGACTAAGAGCAGAGTGTATTTGACGAATGGTTTCGATTGTCTAAAAATTGGAAAACAGACTTGCTATGAGCGGCATGAATAGAGTTAAAAAGAGATCTTTGAGACAGTTCATAATATTTTAACCTTGGTATTTTCTCATCTTGACTTGGTCTTGTTTTTAGCGTTGAAAGCTCCAGAAGAAGCCAGAACATTGAATGCAGATTTGTCAGCTTTAGCATCTGTTAGCTGTTCTGTGGGCTCAAGCTTGAATTGTTCCAGATAAAATGAAGAGAGGAAAAGCACAAGCCCAAGAATTCAGGAATGGAACATGTTTTTCAAGTACAAGTATTTGTCATTGTTTTGCAAGAGGTAGGCATTGAAGAAACACAGGAAGTCTCTTCGTCATTATTATAATTCAGATAAAGTATGTGCCGTCTCTTAATTCCTGTTCAGTGTTTCGTCATACCTTCAGTTCTGTTCTTCAGCTACAGCCACAACAAGATGAAAAAATTAAACAGAACTTTTGATTTGATTCTTCCAAACTCAGATATAGTAACGTTAACCTCTGTATAATAACTACAAAACAAACCTTTTTGTACTTATATCCATATAGAAAGAATACAGATATGTTGAAGTCCACAGCACCTTTAACATATGTCCCAATAACTCAAAGTATGCAGCATATCCCGACATGCCGTACTTCAAGAGTATAATGTAAGTAACAGTACAAAAAATACATACTTCATGTATAATGCCATGTGCAATAACAGCTCATCAAGTGTCATGCTGTTAGAAATAACAGCAATTCTTAAAGGGTGCCTTCAAATCACCACAGAGACCAAGCGTCTAATATTAGTGATTACATATGGCTGTGAGTAGTAGCACCCTTTGGTTTTTAGATCATTTGGCTGTAGTACCTCCGTAAAATAAAATGGAGGATAATCCTGCAGTTAAAACTATAACCCCTCCTACGCTAGATGATCCCCTCATTGTTGGAGGTGACTCCGTCCACTCTTAAACAAACATATATACATTATTTTCTAACTTTCCTGGAAGAACGGATGCAGTTGTTGGCTAAATAGGCAGTGCAGATTGTTGCAGAGGTCAAATACAGTTCACCTGATTAACTGAGGTACAATCAACCAAACTACACGTCCAACCTCATGTTTGTTTCATGTAAAGTGCTATCACACTCCTAAAAAGAAAATGTCCAGTTACTTTTTAACACAGCAGCTGTTTTCATTTCACATTGAACACCATTTGTTTTTGAAGTTCTTCTTTAACTTGGCAATGAACCTGACTGACTTTGCTTTTCCACTGTCTGTTCCTGTGGCGCCACCATGAGGTTGATCTTGGTGGTTTTTAGTGAAACGTCTTATAATTGGTAGGATGGTTTGCTTTAACAATTGCTAAAACCATGTTGACATCTTTGGGATACCCTCCGACTTTTCCTTTATCACCAAAAGTCCTATCATTTCCTTTATAACCAGATACCTTTAAGTTATACCAAAGCTCAGCCTGACTTTCTGCTAAATGCTACACAGCTAATGTTAGCATGCTGAGATTCTAAACTGAATTGGTCGTAATGGTAAACATTGTACCTGCTTTAAGTTGGCATGTTAGCAGTCAGCTCAAATTAACATTGTACCAATGTAGCGCCTAACTGAGCTGCTCGTATGACTTTTAATCTTAATAAAAACGTAAATAAGCATTTTTAAGAATCGCCTTAAATCAGCCTTTTAGAGATATCCAGCCAGGAATACCGTGGACAATGAGTACAGCACCAGATCTGGTCCAGACGGAGAACACATTTCCTTACGAGGACAATAGTATATATCGTGCAAAATTATACTCTTTTGAATAACTGACCACTGGGCAGAGTCGTTTTTTCTTCTGATTCATCGATCTGGAACGAGGCTTGTTTAGTAAAAGACTTGATCTAGATTCACCAATAATCAACATGTCGTTAAAGAGGTTGGAGGTGGATCAGCTGAAACAGTTCATCTTGGGTTCAATCCCAGTCTTTCTCCATCTCAAATAAAAAGAACATTGTCTGTATGTCAAAAAGTCACATCTGTGTCATCATACGAGCGTCTTCACTAACGATAGGTTCATCAGGAGCATCAGCACCATCAGGTGGAGGCTGCAGGTGTTCGGCGGCGCCTCGTTCTCCCGTCCCTCCGACCGTTCCCCCTGCTCGTCCTCCCACTCCGTCCTCTTCCTCTCCTTCTCCTCCTCTTCCTCGTCCCCCTCCCTCCTCGGTTCATCGTCCTCCCTCACGATGTTGATGGAGTCGCATTTCTCGCCCTCGTGTCCCTCGTAGCAGTGGCAGCGAAACCTCTTGGTGAGCAGCTGCAGCTCGTGCTGAGAGTGCCAGCCGGTGACGGAGAAGTCCCCGTCGTTGGAGGGCTGGATGTGGTAGGAGGTGCCGCTCAGGTGGAGGTAGTGGCGGGCGAGGGGGTTACGCCGGACGCAGCGGCCGTTCCACTGGCACAGGAAGTCGCTGCAGACCTCGGCCGCTCGCGTCACATTGGTGATGTACTGACCCAGGCGGTGGCTCAGCAACGTCTTCACCTTGGTGCAGTTAAACTGTGGAAATGGAGAAACACACGACTGTCAGGATGTGATGGAAGACTCCAGTTTGGCTCCTAGTTTAAGTTTTCAGTAGCAGTAGGCAGGTACTTACTGTACATCAAACCAGCTCTGATAAACCAATCGTAGCCTAATGGACTTTTTTAGATACAAGTGGTCACGCTACTTTCTAGCATTGGATACCAAATGTACGTGCCACTTGGCCCAAGGCACTGATTTTGAGGAACGCTTTTATTATTGTCTATGCCATTAAAGTTCACAAGATGTTTCAGAAAACATTGAAGACATTTAATTAGTTTGTAGTGCTTCCTAGTGTGATGGAAACTTCTGTAGCAATGAAGACGAGACTCAGAGAGACACGAGGAGAGAGCAGGAACTTTGATGGCAAACACTGACGCTTTATTTGGAGCTTCGGCCGGAGAATTCACAAGACATGAGCTGAGCCACGAGGTGACACAGCTGCTGCCAAACCACTTCTGAAGATCTCTACCCCAGACCCCTTTATTTAGCTAGTTCTGAGAGAAGAATCAACATGCTGCATAACAAGATAAACCATAACACCTCTATCAGCTGACGCCAACAGGGAGACAAAACACTGAGAGCACAAATGCAAACGCTTTAATTTGTGGCTTTGCTACCCCTCGTTTTTTCAACCTTTCTTTCATTTACATTATGAAAATAGTTCACCAAGATGTGTTTCAGATAAGATTTGATGCGAGGAATAAACCGTGAAGTAGCTAAAGTCGAACAAACATCTAAATATCTGTTTTAAATGAATATAAAACACTCCCTGAGACTCTGAGACAGTCAGATGCTCTCTGGATGAACTCTTTTCCATGCAGACAGGATAACTGCAGGCCATAAAAACATGTGTATTATAGTTTTTAAAATTGTCAAAGTGGTTTCACAACACGCGGCGACCACATGATGTCAGCTCTCTATTGTCTGGCTATATTTACAGCTGTGGTTTGTTTGGAGTCCAAAACAAATGAAGACGCTCGAGGAAAGAATGTTTTTTTTAACAACAGTCAACAGCACAAATTAGAAAGAAAACGTCTGACAGTAAATCCACAAATGACGTGTATTTAGATCTCTGTGGATCGATCAATCATTTTCTAACAAAGGGAGTCAGGACATACTTTCCCTCTGTGAGCAAGCTTTCAAAGAGAGAGGGTAAAGATGTTCATTTATTTTTGGAAACAGGCGGAGGACACCCACCCTGGAGGAGGTGAGGTTCAGATCTCCCCAGATGACGAAGCCAGCAGCTCCCAGAGCAGCACTTTCTCCGATGGTGTGGATCAAGTCTTTCTGCAGGACACACAAATCACATATTATGGTCTGTTTCCTTCACTGACATACAAGTTAAATCATACAACACACATTTACTTTAACACCAGGCCCAAAGTGCAAAAAAAGTGATACGTGAAGCATAATGAAATATTTGATTGCATTAAAATCCCCAACCACATCCGTGACCGCCCCTGGTCTCACCATGTTCGAATCACAAATCAAAACTCACCTCTTCAGAACTGATTTTAATCTGTAATTAATGTTGTGTTTTATATATTTCAAGTGTGTTGTTTTAATTATGTTTTTATGATTTTTTGTGGTTTTTAGTGTCTCAAAAAAAAACATCTGCATTATTATTATTATTAGAAAGTCTTCAAGTTAATTATCAAACAAAACTAAAATGCAAAACTGTTTTCTATCACATGCATGGACTTATCAAAATGTCATGAATCTGAAACCTGTACAAACAAATGGACATCATTATTGGTTTATGGGAGAAACATTATGGATTTTATCTGAGCTGCTTTTCTGTCGATCTCCACTAGATGGCAGGAGTGAGAAAGAAAATGACGACCCTCGGTCAGTGCAAGCAGCCAATGCTGTGATTACAAATCCATCTTTGTGTCAGACATTTGTTGAAATGTCTTTATGAGGTATTTTAAGTTGCATTGGATATTATGGCTTGTGAAGCTTCTCTACAACACATCCTTCTTAAGAAAGAAAACGTGGGTAAAATGAAAGAAAGAAAACTACCTTTACTAAATATGCAGGTTGAAGCTCCAGGCTAAAAGCTCAAATAATGTGGGATCAAAGGTAAGTTTGCTGTTGATTTTAGTGACTTCTGGGATACTAAATATGTAGTTATCATTGCACAGAGGACCAGGAGACTCAGTGGGAAGTCGATATTTCCAAATCACAGTCAGATGCAGCACCATGTTGGACCTTTGCAGTCGTCTGCTGGAAACCACCTCTCAGATTTTCCCCTTTCTTGTTAACATCCCTTGAACTTGTGAGTACTAACTAAACTTGCTTGTAGGGCTGCTTGATTTTGTTCCAATCAGAATTGAGGGCAGCAGACCATTGTTTCCGTTAAATTAAATTTGCAGACTAAAGAAAACAGAATAATTGTGACTAGTAAAGGACATCTTATTTTTTTTATTAAACAGACAACTCTCATCCCAGACGTGGCCACAGTGAAACACAAGTTAAAATTGTCTCAATGTGACTGGGTCGCTATAAAAAGAGGCTGTGGCTAAAGAAATATATCTGTGCAATATGGAGCTGCAGCTGTTCGACGTTGAGCTGTTAGCTCAGACTGCAACAGGTCAACTTTGGACTCATTTGGAAAAGAAGCAGATTAGAACAGAAAAGGAGAAACACATCTATTTCATGAGACAGGTGCATTGTAGATCAAAAGTTGCAAAAAGTCAAGTCATGTGACCGTGCTGTAGTTCCTTCATAGCCTAATATAAGCTTTTAACAGCAGAAATTGGTGTTACATGTGGAGATTATCCTGCTGAACAAAAAGTGTTAGTATCCTAAACGTTTGTTTGCCACAGAGCTTCTTTTCTGCAAAGATTCAATGGAAAATACTTATTGCTTTTTGTCGCGGGAGCCCTTGCGATGCTTACCAATCAGAGCTAAGTATGTCAATCACATGCTCAGTACTGTACAAACAGCAGGGCATCTACTTTGTTTAGCTAAACGTCTCTCTTACCATGGTGAGGAAGGCCATGGCCTCGTCCCTGTAGCCCAGCCTCAGGTACACGTACGTGGGCAGCTCGTACTCCCTGGAGGTGAGCGTGGCGACGCGGAGCGACTCTCGGATCCTGTGCTGGGCGAAGTGCAGGTTGCTGATGCTGTTGGAGTGACTCTTCCTGATGGCCACGGAGGGGAAGAGCGCCGTGCTGCTGTTCCAGAGCCACATCAGCTCGTCGTTCCTCAGCCTCTCCAGCAGGGGGCAGAAGCCGGTGTAGTTCTGCTCGTGCTGGTTGTAGTTGTGGCAGTCGGGGTAGAGGTAGAATCCCCAGAGTGCATTGGGGCGAAGGCGAGTCCCCAGTTGGATAGTCCTTTGCATGAACGCTTTGGCGCTCTTTTCAAACCTCCTTCGTGCAAGCTCCTCCACTTGAGCATCCGTCACGTTTACAAACGCCTTGGCGGCCAGTTCTTTGGACTTTTGCCGGTAAATGTCCTTCTTGTGCCAGTTACGGCTCCATTGAGGCCGCCAGAACTCCCAGTCGATGACGGCGAGGCCACGGAAATCCTCCGAGGGGATGAAGTGGTTAATATCCTGGTAGGCCTTTACAAGATGGAGGTCCAGGCTGCAGTTCTGAGGCAGGCCACCGTGCACCGCCACACCCTGAGGCGTGTAGTAAGGGTAGTACCTGTTAGAAAAGGCTAGGTTAGGCTTGCGCTTCAATCTCAGGATCCATGTATTTGTGATCCTCTCCAGAATGGAAGGAGTCATCACATACAGAGCATCAACTAGTTCCTGAACAGTGTCCTTCACATGCTGATATCCAAGAGATGGAGTTACACAGTCACAAGATGGAGGAATATAAAGCAGTATTCAATGTTTACTTCAGATTAGCTCCACGTCAGAAATGATCATGCTTCTGATATGTCTATCTCCATAGAGGCTGAATCATCATGTTAATCACATAGCTATCATATGCCTAAAACAGTCCTGATGCTCTTCTAGGTAATCATACATCCTGTCATGTACACAGCTACAGTTGAGATACCTTTGCTATCATGTGCTACTCTGATATTGGAAGAGTACATTCAGTATTTTCCCAACAGTACCCCAGACGGTTGGCGTAGAAGATGGTGACGTTCTGACCCGTCCAATCGGCCCGCGGGCTCCCGTGGATGTGGAAGAGGCGTTCAGCGTTGGTGGTCACGTTGTACTTGATGGTGCACATGTCCAACGGGGCGTTCCAGGCGGCGATGAACGGCTTGCGGGGAATCAGAGGCAGCTTGGCGGGCTTCTGACCGAAGGCAGCGTGGAAGAGAAGGAGCAACCAGGAGCAGGTGAGGGCGACGGGGACGACCTGATTGGTGGAGGAAGCCCCGCCCACCGGCACCACGGGCATCCTGGGGATCAGGAGGAGCAGCTGTCAATCATCCTGAAGACAGATGGAGGGGAAGGGAAGAGAAACACAGAAACGTTGAATTTTTTTTTTCTAAACGTCATCACAACCAACATTAGCCGCCTTTAGCTTAGCGGTGGTGACGTGAAGTCATGTGACAAACAAACACCTGTGGTAAATTAGCATTACCACAGGTGTTTGTTTGTTATTTCATTGTTTTGATATTGATATAATTTCTCTTTCCAGGCCTGTTTAGAAAGTGGTGCAGGAATGAATCCCAAACCGAGTAATGAGTTAGCATTTTATCACTTCTGGGTTCCCTTGTTTCGGACTCAATGAGTTTTCTGAACGTGTTTTTGGTTGTTATGGTGAAATAACGTCTGTAGTTAACACAAGCTGAAGAGATTTTAATGTTTTGCACTTCACCCTGCTTACAGACGGACAGAATTAGCAGCAGAGGCGCCTCCCCAAAGCTCTTAATGACAGTGTGGAGTCTCCTAAACTTCATTTGACCCTGGGACTGTTTTAATATTGTTTGTGAGTTTATGGATGAGTTTTACAGTTTTTGTAAAATGACTTGTGAAACATATTATCCACAGCTTCTTTCTTCTAAATAAACATCTGTTTTACTGTCAGCACAATAGAGGATCATGACAGCTTTTCACATTTGCTTTTACATGTGATTTTATGAGCCGTCTGTTAAAACATCTGGGATGTATTCGGCATGCTGACACGCTCCAGAAATTATATCTTCGTTTATTTTCCAGCTGTTGACATTTAAAATTCCTTTAATACGATGGACAGACATACTGACTTTTTTATGCACAAGCCATGTGGAATATTGCAACTTAATGAATTTGAATAATTGCCTAAGTTTTCTAAAGTAATAAACATTAAAAAAAATCCAAAGAAAATGTGGATTCGGGATCTTGAATTGATTGTCTGCTTTTGGGTCATTTGGTCTCGGTAACATCTGTATTCTGTCTTACATGAGTCTTAAACATATGTACAAGCACTAATTAAAGAGCTTACTTGAAGAATCCATCTATGGATAGTTTTTGTATTTTGATAATAGATTAGTCGTTTCTTATTTTCGAGGATTTGCTGCTTTCTTTGTCTAATGTGATTTAAAACTGAATATCTTTGGGATGTTTTTTGGATAAAAGCAGATATTTAAAGACTCCACTAGGAAATTGTTGTGGGCTTTTTCCCTTTTTTAATATATTTTATAGAAGATCAACAAATAAACTGATCAAGAGAGAACTTGGCACATTATTTGGCAATGAAAAAGTTGTCTATTGCAGCCTTAATCAAGTTTTACCATGAAATTAGCTGTTGATTTACTGTATTTGCTCCCCAGAGGATGATTTGTTTGTATATGTTGGCCCCACTTTGTACTCTTTCCACTACAGGCAAGAATTCAGACTGCATTCTGTCTTTTGTCCTCTGAGACATAAATAGTCCTTGGTTCTTCCCATGGCACCCGGGGGTCAGAGGTCACAGAGAGGAAGTGAGTTGACACCCAGGGACTGTAAGGAGGACTTTGGCTGTTTTCTGTCCGCAGCTCGTCCTCCTCTCACCACAGCCTCAGGCCACAATGACAGGCCTCGCTGCCAAAACCCTCAGAGAGGCTCAGTGTTGCGTCTACAACAGCTGGAGGAATCCAATATGAAGTCAGAGAGAAGAAGGAGACAAAATCTGACGTTTGATTTCATTTCTTTCTGTCACGCTTTCACCAAAGATGCTCTGTAACTAAAGATGATGCATTATCACGAGGCCCAGAGTGAGTGGTGGAGTGATGACGTATTTTTGTAGGCCAACCCGAAAGATAGCATAACAAGAGCTGCCTCGACAAAAAGCCAATGGGGCTTTTCCATTTCCACACGTTTATAATACTAACACGTTTTGTTCAGCAGGATAATCTCCACATTTTAACACCACTTCATGATTTGTGAAGTAAAAAGCTAACATCAGGCTATGAAGGAACTACAGCACAGTCACATGACTTCACGTCACCACCGCTAAGCTAAAGGTGGCTAATGTTGGGCTATAAAGGAACTACAGCACGGTCACATGACTTCACGTCACCACCGCTAAGCTAAAGGTGGCTAATGTTGGGCTATAAAGGAACTACAGCACGGTCACATGACTTCACGTCACCACCGCTAAGCTAAAGGCGGCTAATGTTGGGCTATAAAGGAACTACAGCACGGTCACATGACTTCACGTCACCACCGCTAAGCTAAAGGAGGCTAATGTTGGGCTATAAAGGAACTACAGCACGGTCACATGACTTCACGTCACCACCGCTAAGCTAAAGGAGGCTAATGTTGGCCGTGATGACGTTTAGTCGTCTCATTTAGACACTTGTTAGCAACTGATGTTTTCAAAATAAATCTCATCATTCTTCAGTCTGAAAAATACAATGTCATTGTCAAAATGTTTTGTGAAAAATGGGTCCAATGTTTACTTTGGTGACGAAACAACAGATCATAATCCGTGCTGACGATTAACCATTTTAAAAAAATCATATTGTGATCTGCGAATTACAGATAATACACTAGTGTATTATCTGTAATTCACTAGTGTATAAACTGTAATTCAGTATGACAGCAGATGAAATTCCTACGTCTCTTTTGTTCCGTGTTGGTTAGTAGTCCTGAGAAGTTTTTCAAAGTTTATGGGACTTTTTTCCGATCTTAGTTATGTCGGTTTGACATCAAAGTATTTTCCTCTCTTTGTGCTCCTGCCAGTCTTTCCCCGTAGGTTTGGAAATAATTTGACTGCTGCACTTAGTGAAAACAGATCCTCTTTCAAAGCAGTGAATGTATGGATGTACGGCTGAAAGCACTTCCAGGCGAGATTTGATGATAGGAATGTTTCTGATTATTCTCTTTGTCGGGTTTCTTTTTGAGCTTGAAATCTCTGAGCTCTTCTTACAGAGACATGAGATGTGACAGATGTTTTTATATAATACCTCCGTCGATCAGTTTACGGATAAATAACTCTCGACATGCAACACTGGTTAGTAAACCTCTGTGGATATGTCAAATTCGTGCTTTATTCAACCATGAAAATATCTGAACAGGCATTAAAGATCTTGGGTTGTATGTCAGGGAAAATTCGGTGGTCTAAGTGGTTTAGGAAACAGCCAATGCCATCCTCATGTTACGCTTTTATCCAAAACAGTAAGGGTTAGAGTTGGTGAGAAAGACGAAAAAACAGCAAGAATCCTGCAAGTACATTTGCTTCAAATACGGCTATCTACAGCAATGAGATTTTGTTTTTATGTGAATGGCCAAGGTGCAGACCTCTTTCAGGTTGAGACAGTCTGCAAATAGATTGATTAAAAATGCAATGCAACCACAGTCTATGGTTTAATTGCCCCATCCTTCATGTCAATGGTTCAATGCTGGTAAAAGATGGAGAGCCTCAGATTTAATTAATTCCTGTTCATGTTTAAAGTCTGGCTTTGTGTCAAAGTGAATTATTTATCCAGAGTATGTCTAGCATCGATTAAGATAAGAGTCTGTTGATGTCTGTGGTTCTTGTGGGGCATTCATTCAACAAAAACTCGAACCAGAGAAACCGTATAATTTCCAGTGTCTCTGTCGGAAAATTGGGGTGAATGTGAAGAGAAGCTGCCAGTGTCTGAAGCTCTGCAGAGGAACGACATGATGATGTGGGCCAAGGGTCAAGAGGAAGATACGATGTTGGCACAACCCCTTGCATATCTCTAGATTGCCTATACCAGTAGGGGTGGGAATCACCAGGCTCCCCACGATACGATACTATTGCGATACTTTAGCCACGATACAATAGTATTGCGATTCTACGATATGCTAAGTATTGCGATACGATTTAAAGGTCACCTATTAAGCAAAATCCTCTTCTTCATGTCTCTTCTACATCAACATGTGTCCCCTCTTCTTCATGTCTCTTCTACATCAACATGTGTCCCCTCTTCTTCATGTCTCTTCTACATCAACATGTGTCCCCTCTTCTTCATGTCTCTTCTACATCAACATGTGTCCCCTCTTCTTCATGTCTCTTCTACATCAACATGTATCCCCTCTTCTTCATGTCTCTTCTACATCAACATGTGTCCCCTCTTCTTCATGTCTCTTCTTCATCAACATGTGTCCCCTCTTTTTCATGTCTCTTCTACATCAACATGTGTCCCCTCTTCTTCATGTCTCTTCTACATCAACATGTGTCTCCTCTTCTTCATGTCTCTTCTACATCAACATGTGTCCCCTCTTCTTCATGTCTCTTCTACATCAACATGTGTCCCCTCTTCTTCATGTCTCTTCTACATCAACATGTGTCCCCTCTTCTTCATGTCTCTTCTACATCAACATGTGTCCCCTCTTCTTCATGTCTCTTCTACATCAACATGTGTCCCCTCTTCTTCATGTCTCTTCTACATCAACATGTGTCCCCTCTTCTTCATGTCTCTTCTACATCAACATGTGTCCCCTCTTCTTCATGTCTCTTCTTCATCAACATGTGTCCCCTCTTCTTCATGTCTCTTCTACATCAACATGTGTCCCCTCTTCTTCATGTCTCTTCTACATCAACATGTGTCCCCTCTTCTTCATGTCTCTTCTACATCAACATGTGTCCCCTCTTCTTCACGTCACTTCTTCATCAACATGTGTCCCCTCTTCTTCATGTCTCTTCTACATCAACATGTGTCCCCTCTTCTTCATGTCTCCTCTACATCAACATGTGTCCCCTCTTCTTCATGTCTCTTCTTCATCAACATGTGTCCCCTCTGTGTAAAGAGACTCTGAAAGTTTCAGGAACAAAGATTCTCTCTCTTTTTGATCCATTTCTATAAAAACCTGTCTGAAAATGAGCTGATCAGATTTTGGCCACTTTATGATGTCATAACGATGTTCTGGCTTGTGTAACCATTAGCCAATCACCAACCAAGGTAACCCCCCCCCCCCCCACCTTATCACCTGAATCTCCTCCTCGAGCACCATTGTGTTCTTTTTAACCAAATCTCTCTCAGAGGGGCGTGGGGAGGG